ACACACAGACACACAGACACACACACACAGACACACACACAGACACACACAGACACACACACACAGACACACACACACAGACACACACACACACACACAGACACACACACACGCACAGACACACACACACACAGACACACACACAGACACACACACACAGACACACAGACACGCAGACACACACACAGACACACAGACACACAGACACACACACACGCACAGACACACACAGACACAGACACACACACACACACAGACACACACACACACAGACACACAGACACGCAGACACACACAGACACACAGACACACACACACACAGACACGCAGACACACACACAGACACACAGACACACACACACAGACACACACACACACAGACACACAGACATGCAGACACACACACAGACACACAGACACACACACACGCACAGACACACACAGACACACACAGACACACACACACAGACACACACAGACACACACAGACACACACACACATACACTAATGACCTGGAAGGAGGAAGAACTGTTCAAAGAAGATGTACGTGTTACCGAGGTCTTAGTTTGCATACTGTATGTATACATATACACGTATACGCACATATACATATATGCGCATCTTCTTTGGAGCATAGTTCCTTGTCCCAGGTCTTTCCTTTGGCCGAGGGTGGGAAGATGGAGGGGAGGCTGCTACTCTCTAGCGTTTCCCATGTGCCTCTACCACAGGCTCAAACCCAGCTGTTAAATCTGCTCCTGTGCCCTCTCTGGGCACGTGTGAGCCCTTCTCACTGTCAGGCCCTACTGTTGTGCTGGCTGCTGCCCATATGAATGTGGTCTCAGTCAGCTGGCATCTGTCTGATGTTTCTTCTATCAGAGTAAGTACAGTAGATTGACGTATTATTCTGTTTGTTTTTCTTAATCACAAATCAAAGACAAACTGAATAACATAGGATAAATGATATCACCTTGGATTCCTAAATTCTTGGATCTATGACTTTTCATCTCTAGCAGGCTACACATTCCATGAGCGCAGGGGATTTGTTCTGTCTTACTGCTTTCGATCCCTAGACATTCAGCGTAGAGTTCAATGTTTTGAGCTGAAGTATATTCTGATGTTCAATAGAAATAAATATCTACTTACTGCTTTAACAAGCATTGTGGGTTTTCTACTTGTGTTGACTGTGGGGATAGATATATATGTATAATGCAATTTAAAAAAGTTTATTTTCTAGATAGCTAATAATTTTTAAACATACTTTTTAAAACAAAAGAGTAGCTTCTGTTGGTTTGACATTTCAATTTTCTTCCTGGGCTGTATGCTTTAGAGATAAACTTAAATACGCTTTGAAGGCTTTTTGCTTCTTTGTCAAAGTACTCTGTGACTTGATCAGCCAGCTCTTATGCTCTAAAATTCAATTTACTTAGTAAAAAACCGTAATATGGTTTAAAGGGAAATTTATGTTCTCCTAAGTTTTAAATAGAAAAAAAAATGAGTCTATGTCTTTACAACTGCTTTTTTCCTATCTGGCCAAGTACTTTTTTGTAACTTTATAGAAAACCTTTAAACATGTCTAAATGTGGAAATATAAAAGGCAAATACAGTTATGATGCAAATGCATTTTTCCGTTTGTATAAAAATTCTGCTTGTTAAGCAATTAGATCTGTGACTGGGATATAGCAAAACCTCAATATTTACTAGCGATTAATATTACAAATATGTAGCCGCTTATACTCAAGGGCAGATGTAGTTATGTAGATTCTATATTTTTATATTTTCAGAGACTAAAACTCATAAACAGGTTTTGGCCCAAAGTTTATTTATAAGCTGACTATCTAGCATCCAGCATTTTCCCATAGACACAACACTGCAGAATTAGAGGACTGAAGAAGAGAAAGTTGACCTAGAAATCACCTAATGGGAACTCCTTAACTGACAGATGATTAAATGTGCCCAATTTTGCCAAAATGTATCTTCAAATTATATACTTTTATGATAAAACATTTAAATAGCATTGTTTAAATGATAGTAATGAATTTAAAAAATTGAGTAATTTTTTTTCCTCATTGTTTCAGATTAAGGTAAAGTACATCAAATTATGAGTATTAGAGGTTGATACAGACAGTTATGATGGCTTTCAGGAGGCTTCTGGACGAAGTTGAGATTTTTCAAGTCTATTGATAATGGCTAGCTCTTTGTTGTAATTATTTTTATTTCAAAATATATTATCTTTCTTTTTTCTTAATGAGGGTGTTTGGCTAGTTCTGCTGTCTTATCAGACATGGATTTCTTTTACAAAAAATTGAAGATATGAAGAAATAGGTGATTTTTATTTTAAGGAAAATAAAGTTTAGAAGATGAAGGGGAGACAAGAAGAGCTTTAAAAAGATGGCTTATGTACACATAAAAGAAATTAACCGAACTGTGATCCCACCAGCATCACTTGGTCTGGAATAAAGTCGATTTTTATTTTGAACAGTTTCCATTGGTGGCTACCAGTTGGCACTGTCAATCCAGAACCGCTTTGTCTTCTGTGGTGGCAGAAAATGTGGGCAGAGACTGATGGAATCTTGCTTTTATTTGATAGTTGTGAACAAGTTGGAGGCTTGTGATTCAAGGTGTGCACATTAATGTTATTTTACCTGAAGTTCATGCTCCTGTATCGAGTTGTCTAGACCAGCATTCTCTGCCTGAGGCAGTGCCTCCCCTTGGGAAGGGGGCATCAGGAAGCACACATTTGTAGGTTCATAGTGACTGGGAAGTAACACTTACACTAAGTGGGTGGGGGTTGGGACTTGTAAACAGTTAACACTGTGCAGTAAAGTCCTGTACACTGTTCCATCCAGAAAACCAATAGCCCTGTCTGCTATTGTGATTTATAATAAGAAATAAATATTTGGTCTTGGTCCCCATTTCTGGCAGTGTTCCTAGAACCCTTGGAATTTTCTAAGTGATGAGAGTGTTAAAGATGCCTTTGTTATGTTAATGAGGTGCCTTTGGACCCCACCCAAGCATCCAAGTTTCCAGGAGGACCTACTGTGTGATTAAAGGGTTGAAACTTTCAATCCTACCTCTTGACCTCTGGGTCAGTGATTTAACCAATCATGCTTATGTAATGAAGCCTCTGTCAAAACTCAGGACACGGTTAGAGGAGCTTCGGCGCTGGCGAACATGTGAGGGTGCTGAGACAGAGATGCTTGGAGGGGGATGGAAGCTCTGCGCCCATTCACACACATCTTACCCTACGAATCTCTTCTATCTAGATGTTCATCCGTAGCCTTTGTAATCCTTTTACATAATCCTTTGTGCCTTTTTATAATAAACTGGTAAACATAAGTAAGTAACCTATTTTCCTGAATTCTCTGAGCCCCTCTAGCAAATCAAACCTGAGGAGGGGGTGATGGTAATCTATGTACACTTTGATAGATTTTGATGCTATTTCTTTGATCCATTTAAGTTACCAGATTTTAATATCATTTTGTTGCCCAAGACTGTCCAATGACTTTTCACTGTATAGGAGATAAAGTCAAATACACTTAGATATCAAGCAGGCACCTCAGACTTTACATATCTAGAACAGAACTGTTGATTTTTTTGTTCTTTTTACTTATTAACCTCCTGCACTCACATATTAATGAATATGTGCAACTGTACAAATTCCACTTGGCCAAGCCCCAAGCCTTGGAGTCATCAGAGCCTGCTGCCTTCCTCTTTTGTACCTCATATCTTACCTGAGAGAGATCCTGATAGCTCTACCTTCAAAATATATCCAGAATATAGTGATTGCTCACCACCGCTGCTAATAGCATCCTGGTCCAGAGCACCAGTGTTCTCTCTCACCTAGATTATTGCAGTAGCCTCGTGACTGGTCTTCTTACTCCATTCCTGACCCCGTTACCCCTTACCCCCTTACCTCTCTGGTTGGCTTAGCAGTCAGAGGAATCTGGTTAAAATACATGCCAGAACATGTCAGAACATCATTTGCTCAGAATCTTCTAATGGCTTTCATGTCACTCAAGGTGAAAGCTAAGTTCTTCACCGTGGTCTGCAAGGTCACACATGATCTCATCCCAGTGCATCTCTGACCACTGCCTCTATACAAGACCCTCTTGCTTATTTTGCTCCAGCCACGGTGGTCTCCACGTTCTGTCCCTAACACACCCAGTGTGCTCCTGCCTCAAGGCTTTCACACTTGTACTTTCTATCTGGAATGCTCTTTTTTCTCCTCTCCTTTCCCCCCCACTTCCCTTGGATCTCTGCATTTTGAGATCAGCCTATATGAAGTAGATACTCTTAGCACTTCTTACCCCCTGGTGGTAGCTTGCATTTCTTAAAAGTATATCTGGCATGTAGTTACAAATTTAATCTGATTGTTTCCCCTCTCTAGATTGGAAACTTCATGAGGACAGGACTTGTTTTATCTGCTGATGTATCCCCAGTGATTAGAACGGTACCTGACACACTGTTGATGCAAATTAAATATTTGTTGAATAAATCTCCTCTGCCTGGCATTTAAAGTCCGCTACAATATGGAAATATCCATATATTCATGTTACTACTTGCTGACATCAATATTACTCCTGGGCAAATACGCCCTAAAATCCCAGCCTTTATTTATGCTTCTTTATCCTGATATACTTGTTAATCTCTTCTATACCTACTTTAATTTTATTTATCCTTCAAGGTCTGGCTTGTCTCCCATCAAACTTCATAGGCTTTTTTTTCTCCTATACATCTGTTCCAACAAGTCTGTAGGCAGGGAGTCTGAAGGAGTGCGTTCCAGCCCTTGTACTGCCATTAAGGGCAATCGAGCTTCTTGGAATATCAGTTAAACTCAGGGCTCAATCTGCTCATTTGCAAAAGGAAGGACATGAATTTGATTTGACACAAAAAAAACTTTTAGTCTTATTACTATATAAAGCTGAAGCTATATTTTTAAACACACTTTTATCTTAGTGAATGGCAAAATTATCTACCCAGCTGTCCAAGCCAGAAACTGGAAAATCATAGAATCTCCTCTTTCCTCTGTCTTAAATACACATTTGATAAGTCAATTGTAATCACATTACTTACAAGAGCTTTTACAATGGGATGGTTTCTACATCTCCAGACTTGTCTCCCACTGACTCTTCCCCTCCTCCTATGACAGGACGTACAGTTTCTTGATTACACCTGCTCCATGTTACTGAGGGCCTCGTACTTTTGCTCATACTGTTTTTTTTTTCTATCTGAAGTAACATTCTTCCATTTATCCCATCCCCCACCAGTAAATAGATGACCTAATTTTCATATTCAATCTGAAATCTCCTTCTCCAATAAGAGCTTTTTGATACTTCTTCCCCTGATACAATTCACTTCTCCATTTCTACCCTACTCTGCATTTTCTATTCAAGCACTTGATAATTTCTTATGTATTTGTTTAGTCTCTTTCTCTCCATTTTGACATAGGTAAGTCCTTGAAGGATGAATTCATTAGGTTAGAGTAACTGCCTATGTGATGTAACAATAAGATTAAAAAATACATGCTTTCAATGAAAGGTTTTTCATCCTTACTCTGTAGTCTGAAGGTGGCAGTCTGGCTGTGTGTAGAATCTTACCCCATGAGATCATTCAGGGATGTGTGTCAGCCTCATCTTGGTGTTTTGATGTGGTGTTTGTCATTTCCTTCTCAATGCAGGTGAAGAGGGCCATTGCTACACGTGGGTTTCACTCCACAGAAAGGAAACACATGAAGCCAAGGAAAGCAATTTACTAAATGACAAAGGAGGCAGAATTTCTATAATCACTTCTTATATTCCGTTGGCAAGAACTTTCTCTTAGGCTGAATCCAGTTGAAAGTGGGGATGGGAAATACAGTCTTTAGCTGGGCAACCACGTATTTGGGAAGAAGTGGACAGTGAATTTTGGTGGGGTCAGCTACTAGTCTGCCAGCCTAAACAGAAATCCAATCTTGTTCATCCTTCTATTACTGGAGCCTAGAATACCCTGGAGCTCGATAAATGTTTTCAGTTAACAAGGGAATAAATATTTTGTGATTCTTTTTTCTATTTTTTACCTCCTTATTTCTCTGTGAAGCATTTGGGAATTTCTACTAATGTATTTTCAAGTTATTAATTCCTTATTCAGCTATCTCTAATCTTTAACCCATTCATTGAGGGGTTTTTTTTTTGGGTTGTTTTATTATTGAAGTATAGTCAATTTACAGTGTTGTGTCAATTTCTGGTGTACAGCATAATGTTTCAGTCATACATATAATGTTTCAGTTATACATATACATATATATTCCTTTTTATATTCTTTTTATTATAGGTTACTACAAGCTATTGAATACAGTTCCCTATGCTACACAGTAGAAACCTGTTGTTTATCTATTTTATATATAGTAGTTAGTATCTGCAAATCTCGAACTCCCAGTTTATCCCTTCCCACTTGTCTTTCCCCCCAGTAACCGTAAGTTTGTTCTCTGTGTCTGTGAATCTGTTTCTGTTTTGTAAATAAGTTAATTAGTATCTTTTTTTTTAATTTCACATATAAGTAATATATGGTATTTTTCTTTCTGGCTTACTTCACTTAGAGTGATGATCTCCAGATCTATTTATGCTCCAGCAAATTACATTATTTTATTCTTTTTTTATGGATGAGGAGTTTTTAATTTTAGAAATTATAATTTTCATTTTGAAGAGTTCCACTGAGTTCTTTTTTTTCAAATCTACCTGGTCATTCCCAATAGTCCTTCGCTGTTGATCATCATTGTGATTCATCTTTTATTTCTATAAATATTTTGTGCATATTTTAGATAGTTAGACAAGTGGGTAGTTAGGTAGTTAGAAAATTTATTTATTAATAGATATGTTTGGTGCCACCCTGAGATGTTCTCTATAATAAAGCACATGGTTTTTAAAAATTGTTGGTAAGTGTGTTTTCTAATCTGCAAAATGCTAATGCATAAGACATTTCATAATTGCTTAGTTTCCACTGAAAATTATGGCTTTCAAGGGTTAAAATTACATGAAATTTAAAAGAGGATAAAAGTTTTCTTAAAATATTAATTTGCTTTTGATAACAAATTGTGTGTGTCTGCCTTTAAGTGATTTATATCTGTTTTTAAAATCATTGTCACTTTGAATGCTTATTGTTTCTCAGTGAATTATGATTTTATTTGACCAAGTGTTTTAAAACTTTTTGATAAACTTCCCAAATATCAAATTGTAGAAAAGTTATTTTGACCCATCCTAACTTTGGGATGCTTCAGAGGGCCCCTGTAACATTCTAAAAAATAATATTTAACTAATTAGGTTCATTTGACATGTTAAATTACATGGGAAGTATTGTCAACTAAACAATAAATCTTCTTAGGTTATATTGTATGGGAAAGTGTTATTGATACAGATAATTAAAAATTATATAAAATTTCTAAAAATTTGGTATGTAAAAAATGTTACCAGTCATAATTCTGGTTATTGTAACCAGACTTTTTTTTTAAATCAATTACAGTCTAACCAGGTATTTAACCACTCTTTAGTCTTTTATCATTCATAAACAGTTACAGTTTTACTCTCATGCCCTTGAAAAATGCTTTCACTTTAGAAAGGTTTATAAAAAAGGACTTTTGACAAGTACAGATTTCTGGTAACTTTTAAATAATAGTGATGAACTGGGTAAAAAAAATGTTTAAATTCTGATGAAAACTCTGATTACATAAAACTGTTAGCAAAAATGATTAGTTACATGGGACCGAGGAAACTGATAAGTGGTTATAATTTTGGTTTTGTCTAAAATATTATTGGCTTTTAATCTGTGTTTTTCCAGAAGTGAAGAAACCCTTTTCAAGCTAATTATGCCTTACAGCAATTTGGTAAACTATACTTTTGTAAGCAAAATTAAAGGATTTATCTTTTCTCTCTATCTGATCCCTCCAGAGACCTGAAAAATCTTAGGATCCCAATAGTTTTATAATTCACCTATATCTGTAAAACGTGGCCCTTCTGGCCTTGAGATACCTCTTTGGAGATTCAGTCTGTCTCCTTCTGAGAAATTCCAACACAGTGAATTAAAAACAAAAATAAAACCTATGTGAGCAATTAGTCTTGGTTTTGGCTATATTTGATAACCAATGTGCTGCTTTTGTAGGCAACAGCCACTGTTTCCCTCACTGTGCTCAGACACTTGAGTGCAAGCCCCCTTTGTCCCTCACAGCTGGTCACTGTCCCCAGCCTCTGCTCCCACCTGGTCCTGGAGCCATACCACACGTCAGGGAGGACCCGTGTGGACCCTCAGTGTGTGCTGGGAGGTGAGGGGCGGTGGAGCAGTCACTGCCAAAGATCCCGGCTGCTGCCCACGTGACCCTGAGTAAATGGCTGCCTCTGCCTCCGGTGATGGGCAGGTTTTCCCCACTTGTGGCCTCCTCAGATCCAGTGCTGCACTGTGACATGGAGTGAGCAGGGCTGGCGTGCTCACTTGACTGGGGCTGGGGTGAATGCCAAGGCAGTCACAGGAAACAGCCACTAAAGCATAACGTGTTTGTTTCATATTTTTGTCATCTGCTTCTTAAGCTAAATAGTATGGAATTAGGTTGTATGTATTGAATTGAAAATCTTTCCCTTGGAAACTATTTTCTTATGATGCTTATAATTTAATTTCTCTCCCCCTCCCCCCACTTTTTTTTTAAAGCCAGAGGAACATCCTATCAGTGCACAACATGTTTATAAAGGAATATCCTAAAATATTCCTAAAGAAAAAAACCAAACTACCTAAGCTTTTCAAAGAGGAGGGGAAAAGGTAATGTTACCTTCTTTTAAAGGCAAGGTTGACGCGTGTGTGTCTGTGTGTGTGCGTGGAAGAACAGTGCTTCTCAAATGTTGGAAGTGTCAGATCAGTCCCCAGTGCTCTGTGCTAGGGACCGTCCAAGGAAAAGGAGATTGGCAGGGAAGGTTGAATTCATACGCTCATTTTGGAAGAATTTTAAGTATGTGGTATGATAGCTGGGAAAAATAAATATGTGTAGCTCCCTGAGTTTTATATAAATAAACAACTAACGTTTTATAATAAACAAGGCATTTGATATAATTTAGTATTCATGTCTCACAGTAAAAGTAAAATCATGCAGGTTAAAACCTGTACTGTGCGCAGTACTGTGACTGTTAAAAAATCCCAAAGGTTGGGAGATTTAACACCTCAAAGTTTAAAACTGTGTGTGTTTAAAAAACCATACAATTAAAAGACAGATCAGAGATGGGGAAAAATATCTGTAGCACATACAGTACAGAAAGTGTTAATTATCCATGACATATAAAGTGAATAAGAAAAACCCTCGAGCAAGGAATGTAAGTGACCAGTCAGCAGAAGAAGAGAAACAGATGGGGAAAAATCATGAAAAGGTAGGTTATCAAAGCCTTGAGATGCCTCTTCTCCATCCATCAGATGGGCAGTAATTAAAAATAATATTCAGTCTTGACAAAGGTTCAAGGTGGACACTGTATACTGTCAGTAGGAGTATAATTGATAAATTAGACAAATGAGCAAGACCACTTCAAAATTTTAGCTATGTACCTCCTTTGACCCAGCATTTCCACTCCCAGGAATGCATCCCACAAATTGATTTGCTCTGTGCGCAAGGTTCATATAGAAAGCTTTCCAAGGCACCATTTTTTCTAGTGGTAAAAACTGGGACAAACTCAAATTTCTATCCATAAAGGAATGATTAAGTGGATGACTGTACATCTGTACTATGTAGAAAAATTGTGTGTGTTCCTGTAGATTTATATGTATTGGCATAAGAAAAGGTCCAAGAATAAGTGAAAAACAAACTGTAAAGCAATAGGTATAGAATAATCTCAGTTAAGACCAAAAACAAAAGCAGCTTTGTGTATTTGTGTATTATTTATGAAGGCATACAAAAGGACAGAAAGGATACACTCTAAACACTGATTTTTGCAGAGAGCAGGAGGAATTTTCACTTTTCCTCTATGTACATCTGTTTTTTAAAAATTTTTTTAAATGAGCTTGAAATTGTGGGTTTTTTAAAAAAATTGAAGTTAAAATTTGTATATGCTTTTCAACCTTGTAATTTCACTTCCAAAAATATTTACTAAGGAAATAATCAGAGAGGCAGTCAAAGGTTATGCATAGCATCACAATGTAGTATAGGATTATTTGTTATAGCAGCAATTCAAGTACTGTCCTGTGTTGAAATGGTTACATTATGGAATATTCATTTTCTATAGCTACTTAAAGTCATGTGTTAAAGAATCTATATTGACTTGAGGAAATTCTTCCAAGAGCCGTTAACATTTAGGAAATGCTTGCTCTGTACCAGGGACCATGCTTTACATAAATTGTTTTATTTAATATTCTGAATGGCCTTTTGCCATTCCCATTTTACAGATGGAGACATGGAGGTTGGCTTGGTGAGAGTAAATAATTTGCTTGAGGGTCAGACTCCCACCAAGTTGGTGGAACTGAAGCAAAAGGCTTTGCTGATACTCAGATGCTAGATTACTTCACTGTGTTATCTTGAATATAAAACCAGATCACATACATACGAATGTGTGGTGTGACTCATCAAAATGAATCTTTCTGTGTCTTAGTTTCTCATAGCTAAGGTTTGGGGAGTGGGTAGTGCAACTGATATTCTGAAGATGACGATTTTATTTTAAAAACTGACATAATTTTTTCCCCAGATACAAAAGTATTTGGGAATACCTAAAAGTAGAGAGGGAAAATTACTGATAAATACAATATATGGAGAAAACTACAATTCCGCCCCCAGCCCCGGCCCTTTTTGCCTGGTGTGGGTGGGTCTGAACATCCCTGAGATACTTAATAGTTACTGCAAAAGGTTTCAGACGAGTTTTTGCCTCTTTTACTCCAACCATTAGTGCAATAGAGAGTTTGTCTCAAACTGCCCTTGACAGGATCACACGTTATTTTTAATGATGGAATTTGATGACCAAAATTATTTCATTGGTTTGCTTTCCTGTTCTTTGTTGTTTTTAGTAAGTTGCACTGTTTTGTTTGTTTATTGGCCATTTGAACTCTTGGGTGTATTGCCTGTTCATGTACTTAGGAAATACCTATTGATAATGTCTCCCCTAAGTTGACTGATAAATACATTAAGCAAGACTGTTAGAAAGCCCTTATAAGAGGATTTCACTCTGCCAGTTGGAATGCATTTTTCTTAGAGTGAATTAGTGGTTGGTGGTTTAAATCTGACTTCTTAACCACTTGGAATTTGACTTCAGAATTTTACTTTGAAATTTAAGGAATGAAGGGAAATGTATACAGGACCTCTCTTACACAAGTTTCTTAGAATCTACAATTGTTTCAAAATAGTTTTAAAAAATCAAGGAATAGTAAAAAAAGATTTCAAATGATTTATATTTTTTCTGCCAGCAAAAAGTCTGCTCTAGAGTAACAATAAAAATATCTTAAACTGAATTAAAACAGAAGTCCATAAATATATTAAGAAATTATAAATCTCTTCTAGGCTCAGCTCACACTGGTCTCTCATGTAAAAGTCGTGATAAAGTTGTATGCGCCCGGATGGTGGGCACAGAGCTCTGGTACCTTAGAAAAGCTTTTGGCAGAACAAAATAGATGAGGAAACATGAAGCTTAGCAGATACTAAATGCCTGCACTATTAAAATTATTCTTCCACAGCCATTACGTCTTATCATTGTCATATTCAACACTCTATAATTCATTTAACTCAAGTGTCATGTGACAGATACAATAGCAAGGCTTTGAAGTATGGCTGCTGCCTGGCTGTGGGCAGCTGGAGAGAATGCCTGATGCCAGAGCATTTGCTAAACACTGAAGAAAGACAGTCATGTGCAGGGAGAATGGACAAAATGCTTCACGCAACCATGAAATCCACTTGGCATGATGCCACACTAATGAGCATAAATGGAAGACCTGGCTGGGACGTAGGGAAACAATTCCACTCGAGCAAAAACTGAGTACATGACAAGAATGAGATCAAGGGCTGCTTAGAACTCTGATTATTATTTAAAATTTATTTTTTTGTGTGTGGATCATCCAGATAGAAAGTAAATTTTTGGTATTTTCACAGATACAGGAAATCAAATAGAAATATTGTTTTAAAAAGAGCACTGAATTTTGATCCGGAAGACTTGGGCGCGAGTCTCTGTTTCACCCAATCCAGCACCGCGGCTTGGAACAGTCTCTGAGCATTGACTGCCCTCAGTTTTCACTCAGAAAAAGAGGATAATATCATTCTGCTTCAGAGTTACGCATTGAAGGAGATTTTAATTGTACTAGCTCTCACTATCATTATGAACTATAGACGGCAATGATGTTTTATGTAGATTTATACCATATCTCAAGAAATTCGGCCTTATTTTAAAGCAGGTTAAACAACCACCACCCCCATAACAAATTAATAAAAAAAAAACTGCATTACTTGCTTCAAAAAATTTTTTAAACCACACAATGTAGATTTTCAATCAATGCATTGTTGCATCAGTTTATTTCCAGAGGAGAAAGAAGTTTAAAGAAATTATAATAACTGTGGGCATACATAACATACATCTACAGAATTGTAGAAACCTATGTTAAAGATACATCTATTAAGAATGTGATTTTGAGGGGGACAGGAATTCAAGTATTCAGAAGGAAGCCTGTATTCTTGTTAATATCTTACTTTGCTTTTATAAAAATTCCTATTTGGTGTTACGGGTATTTCAGGGAGACATACTGAAGATAATATTTTGTATTATCTCATGATATCTTCCTTTAATAGTATGACCATTTCCCTTCCTGCACCCCATGTACCATCATGGTGTCAGAGAAAAAGGAAGGGTAATACTGCTTTGAGAAGCAGTAGGATAAAAATGGGGGCATATGGGGAAAAGGAGTGATGGAGAGGAAGTTAGCTAAGCTTGAGGACTGTTGCTTTTCATCCACTCCCACCCTTGGTCTGAATCTCACCTTGAGGATATGAGGACTGCAGAAATGTCCAGAGAGCTGCTGAAGAAGCTGCATCCCCAAGGGCGGAGATGACCAACTTGGACTGCACGTTAGAGTCACCTGGAGAGCTTTTACGGGATACAGATGCCAGGTCTCTGTCCAACCCAGACTATGTAAATACAAGTCCATGACTTGGGGCCAATGCCTAAGTATTTAAAAAATATTCCTAGGTGATTCTTGAGAATTATTGTTACAGTAGGACCTAAATTTGGCTTCGTTCAACATGAAGTGAGAATAATAGCACAGTGCTGGTGGAGGAAGGTGCCTACGGATAACCTGGAGCGAATGCCGTTGGTTCCGCTTGGCCTGTGTCTAAGCATGTAAGGGATCCAGAGGTTCCCATGAACACTGGTGAGGAGATAATGAGATCCTGACAGGACTGAAGAGATGGAGAATCTGGGAGGGGGAGGAACACGCTACTGAGGTAGAAATCTGGATGAACCAAGGGAAAAGTCGTCAGCGAGAGCACAGGTGGTAGCTAAAAAAACCCAGTCTTCCCTCGAAAGATACTAGTCTAGGGGCCTGAGTAGAACAGCAGCCACTATGTAGCAGGAACAGGATGATGATCAGCTGGCAGCTCACAGGCAAGAGGAGCTTCCCCCTTCAAACATGGTCATATTAGCAACCTGAACCTCCCCCAACACACACCCAAATGAAGCTCTGAAAGGAAATGGAATGGGCAGAAAATTGGCATGGTCGAGTCTTTATTTACCTGACAAGAACAAAGTGATTTTAATCAAACTCTTTCAAATTAATGGGACAGACACCATGCAGTGATATTGGGAGAAGAG